ACAGGCTTGGACCCGAGCTGCAACATGGCGGCGGAGACCAACATGGGTTCACTGGTGGCTGCTGACATGGCTGGGATGCGAATCTGTTCCGTTTTCGGTGGCAGACTAGGATCATCATGTTCGAGAATCAGCAATGCCACTCCTTCGCTACTGATGGGTCCAGCAAGGCTCAGCAGGTGCTGAACTTCATGGATATTGCAGACTGCAACTCCCTGTGCATGAGCTTCAACTTTGTGGATGGGAATGGCCGCTAGCTTTTGCCCATCTTGTTGGACAAATATGCCATCTGGGAGCTTGATCTGGTCAGCAGTAGGGATCACATGTTGTCGCTGGCCTTTGTGTCCCTTGGTCTTGTTTGCCTTGGATCCCATGGGCTTCTTGGAGGCCAATCGGGCTTTCACGGCAGCGTCAATCTCTGAGGCCAAGACGATCCGTATCGGTGGCGACGCTTGCGAAGCTAAGGCTTTCAGATCTCGCCAAGGCTGTGAACTCTGCAAGGCTTTATTGATGTCCTCAAGGCCTAATTGTTGAATGAGATGTGTTGCACATGTTGCTAGGCGGTCTTTGTCAACTCCATGTTGCGCCAGGACAGACTGTAACAGCAGCTGGTCAGGACTTAAAGTGCCTCCTAAGCGAATGCGATGGCTCGGGACCTGGTCGACCTTCAGTACATGATTGGCGAATAGGACCCTCCAATTGTCGGCCTGAGCTGGCGTCACTGCTTTGGGATGGCATGTTCCTACCACCTGTGCAAAAAACCAGTTGAGTGTCTGGAAACCGCAATCGGCAGCAAACACTGTCGGCATCGTGAACGCAGTTACCGAAACTTCGTAAGGTCCACAGGACTGCGTGATCCATTCTTGAACCTGACGTGCGACCTCATGAGGGACAGATAGCTGGTTGCAGTCTGGCAGTACACGGAGGACTGCAGGAAACCAATGGCTTTGGACCAACACCGGGACCATGAACAACCGTTGGTCGACATCGCATTCATGGGCATGGAGAGCTTGCAAAACCCAGGTTGCTAGTTCTTGGGCTTGGTTCCCTAGATCATCAACCACGACGGGGTCAGCAACTTGGTACCCTTGGTGTCGAACCATGGAAGCATAGAACTTCATTTCATCAACAGCAACCAATGGGCCCTGTGTCAATAGGCCTTGAAAGCGGTCGAGACAGGTGAGCGTCAGGTAACGAAAGGGCTCGGCATGGACGTCTGCGCACCTGGGGACAACGTGTTTGGCACCATTGTCAACTACGTACCATGTGGATGGTGTTAACCAGCTGCTGAGCGGGAGCGGTACTCCCGTCATTGTGGTGATGACGATCGGCTGTACAAACGAAGCTAGGCCTTCCTCTGCTTGCGAAAGCTGTCCAACTGTGGTACCTGGGCAAACGGTGACATGCACGGGCTGGTTCCCTTTACAACATACTGTGACATGGAACTGATCACTTGGCATGAGCTTCAACAAATCACTCTTGGCGAGTTCGCTGGACCCCGTAGGTGCTGTGAATTGTCCCAATGGGCCTTCTTCAAGCGAGTCTTCAAATTGCTTGCCCTGTTCTAGGTGCTCTTTTGGGGCCGTGTCAAACCTGGGATCAACTGGCATGGTCTGTAGGGCACCTGCGCCACAATCATTTGGCCACTTGGGGGGCTCACAGTCATAGTCATCAAGGTCCGGAACCTGCTTGAATGCACGAGCCATTGGAATCATGTCAACCCCAAAATGCCCCCCAACAGAGCCACCCTTGCCCTTTCCCCTGGAGGTCTCGATCCCCTTGTTGGTGGCCTCAATCACGGACTGAGTTTGGACTACCTGAGAGCTAGACGACAGCAATGGTTCTTGACCTGATGGCATATCCGGTGTGTGTGCAGCTTTCCGGGATTTGTTGGCAAAGAACTCTATGCCCCCTGTTGGCGACACCCCTTGGGGCGGACCAGCATCGGCTGCATGGACATGCTCTGCAAAAGCTTTTCGCTTATGATCAGTACTTACCTGCGACGGTGCTTCTCTGGCGGACTCTGCGGAGCTTGCTACTGTGACAATTGGGCCTTCGTAGGTTGCACCTAGCTTGGCTAAGACTGCTGACTGAAACAGCCTGGACTCTTTGGAATGAGCGAAAGGCTTCAACAGTTCATCCCTGGCTGCGAAAGTTTCAATCGCTAACTGTAAAAGGCCCTGTTCGGCCAACTTGGGATGTGTCGGAGCCCCGAATGTCTGTCCAAAGGCCTGGATGACTTGGGCCACGTGCCACAATGCCTGAGCCGGCGAGGCCATCTGGCCGAGTGCGGTGAGATCGAGTCGAAGGTGGCGACTGCTCCCTTGGTGCAAGTGACGTGTTGGGACCATATGCAAAATGGCCACCTCGTCTGGGTGCACATGACGCATGTTCTGGATTTCATGTCCCCTGACAATGGTCGAACCTGTAGTGGGTATCAAAGCACCATACAATCCCTTTTCCTCCAACCTTTTGGGGGTGAACCCTCCCGCTCTGCATCCGCATGCACAGGCTTGCAACTGAGATCCCCAAGCATGTAGGGCTGTAGCGAGTGGTTTAGTTGGACACACGGCATTGCTCCCCAGCCCCCCAGGCTGCTCTGCAAAGATCTCTAACTCATGTGCTGTCAGTCGGATCTCCTGTACTTGTGATTCCGGCCAAAGTGGCAGCTTTGGGAGTAAGTGTCGGAAGGACGGCTTGAAGTCCAAGGATGGGAAACTCTGCAGCGGAGGCATCTTGACCATGGGGTGTACCAACACTGCCCACCAACGTGTCCGCTTGGCTGGCCAGAAGTCCTGCAGGTGGCACAACTGCTGTTGGAGTGTATACCCAGTCTTGGCGCAAAAGGCTTGCAGTGACCCTTGTACCCACGCCGAATCCAAAGCTTCTTTGGTGCATTCCAAAATCATGGCCATGGGCTGGTGGACGTAGCAGGTGGTCAGCATCCCTTCAAAGCTCCTTGCCCTTGGGTCAAGCTGTTGCCGCCTGTCCCCAAGCTGCGAGAAAGGCTGGCATGAGAAACCTCCGGTGATGATGCAAGGCAGTTTGGTGTGAGGAACCAAAGCCTGCTGGGTGGCTATGCAATCGATGTCTCCTTCGATGACGTGTGCCCCTGTGGTTCGTAGCCAGGATGCATACTTATCATTGATTTCTACATGGCACCTCACCTTGCAATTGAGCCATCTGTACCCTGCAGTCATGACAGCATAACCCGAGCAGACGTCGATGACATCGGTCACGGCCTTGTTGGAAACCATTGTATGTCCTTTGAGGACTGCATCCCTTGCATCAATCAGCGGCGTACCCAACAAGGTGGATTTCACACCTCCAACAATGGTGAACCTGTCGGTAGGGAGCTGCATACCCTTGAGTAGGAAGGGTTGTCCATGGAGCATGGTCGTGCAGTGGTGGACCAATTTATCTTCATCATAAAACCATGCTTTTCCAGCAACCGCCACGCATACATCGTCCTTGCACGATGCAAGCCATGGCTCTGGATCAAACGTGATCCCGCGGCCCTCTCGAGCCATCTGCCCGCCCCGGTGTACCCCCTGGGAGGCGCTCGAGCCGACACCTAGCGATAGCCTCCAACCTAATACATACACATGAGACTTGAGAGAGGAGGGTGGTGAACGAAAGGTAGCAGGGAATCAGGCGTAATCCGGGAGGAGGTGAGAGGCCCCCCACTTGTTTGAAGAGAAGTGAGTGAGCCTGATGAAAGAAAAACTAATGCACAAACGCTTGACAAAACCTCCAGAAGCTGTAGCGGTCTAGCGGTTTCAATACAGGTTGACGTGCCTTCAAAAGGAGTCACATATTTCTCAAGTGCAACTTCGGATTTACATAGTGACGTGCGGCGACCCTGTAAATTGCGTGGCCGCAGGCCATGCTTGCAAACAGGACGTGCTCAAAAAACACTGGTATTTACGAGGTTTCGTTGCCGTCGATCCACAGCCGCGGCAAGGTCTAAGGCCACGCTTGAAGACAGGAGGAGCTGAAAACACTGGTATTTACGGTATTTTGTAGCCGTCGATCCAAAGGCGCACCACGGTTGAGCGCTGGAAAAGCGCAGAAAACCGTGTAAATACCGGCGTTTTCTGCCGGGAAGGTGCACAAAACCCTGTAAATACCATAGTTTTGTGCAATTTTGAAGCCTCCAAAAGCCTCAAAAACCCTTTCTGACAAAATCTTTCCTGGCTTTTGGTCTTTTTTCGGTCATTTTTCTAACCGAGACGCATCAAAAACCATCGGTTTTTGCGGTGTTTTTTGCCGGACAGCCACAAAAAACGCTGTAAATTCCATGATTTTTGGTCACTGCTGAGGACTGGAAGAGAAAACACTGATATTTACAGTGTTTTCGAACGGTTGACCCCGAGGCGCGCTAGGGTGGAGTTGAAAGGCCAGCAAACGAAGATGTCGGGGACCATTTCTCCGAGAGATAGGCTGCAGCTCTGGGTTAATACATTTTTGCTAAAGCAAAAGGAAAACTCAGGTAGCGTAACCGCTACCTTTCGTGATAAGCATATCACAATGGCATACAATATCATACGATGGCACTATGGAAAAAGAATATGCCCATGACATTCACGGGTATGCGCACAAGCTTCGGGCAGTGTAAGTCACCTTCAACAAAGCAAAGTTCAGTCCTTAGCACGTACCGCCAATTCTTGCCAAGTATTCTCTACACTTTGCATACACAACTTTGGTCTGTGAGGCAAAAGCCGCAGCGCTGCGCCTTTTAATGCCGGTTTCCAGGAAGAGTCCAGATGGGGACTGTCTGAAGGTCTTAGTCATTTCATACATTCTTCATCTTTCAGCCCCTTCATCTGCCAGTCCCGGCTGTGAAACTTTCCAATTGAACAAAGGATATTTGGGCTTCAATTGTTGTTGACGCGAAACACGATTCAAACCTCGAAAGCGCCTGCTCAGAAGTCAAACGTCGATAGTGGTTGTGCTTGCAAAGGCACTGGAATCAATCCTTTTCATCCTTAGCTGTGAGCGTCTTACCCGCTCATAATAGAGGTCCGGGCGGCACTGGTGTCGACAACTGTGCTGGAAAGGTTACTCACCTGAGAAACCAGCATTGCTTTCAGCTGCTTCATGGGCCCACACTCATAGTATTCCGACACCCCGTCCTTTCAACAATCGAGTACATCAATAAGACATAATGTCAAAGAGAGAGTATCTGCTCAAAACAGGTGTCCTGGATCATGGCCAGGATAGAAGGCTCCCACTGCACACAATTCACAAGCTGATCTGCAAGAAGTGGCCAAATTTCTGCAGGCGGCGTTCCCGCTGCAATCTTTTTGCCTGTGACATTCATGTACACGTCACCTGGGCAAATGTGGTGTGTTGCTCAACAATACAACTCAACATACGGGCATCTTTAAGTGACCCAATACAGAGTATCCAGAAAGCTTCTCAAAGCATCTTGCGCCCGGATAAAGAAGTGGCTTGTTTGCAGCTGTTGCAGCCATGGTGGCAACGTGGCGGCTTCATCTTTGGCAGAGCATCTTGCAAGGCATCTAAGAGCTTATCCTTTGGGTGATGGACAAAGAACATCACAAAGAACCCTACCGCTCCAACCCGGTAACCCTGGAAGCTTCGACGCTAACTCTGAACCACAGCTTTCCAGCAAAGGATCTCGCGCTGGCTGCATAAGCTTAGTGTGAAAGCCACCAGAGGTCTTCAGCATTTTGGCTTGCAAGCACCCTTCCTTTGCACACAGTGTCAACCACGAACCAAGGCATGTTCTGTTTCACACCTTCTTTTTCATGTCGTGTGCACATCATCAGGAGTTGCATCCCATCTCGCACGACACACAGCCCTAGCACTTCTGGCGCCAAGGGGCTGTAGCTTTCACCTTAGGCTCCAGCCGCTGGATGGCTGCCAGGGTCCCGGCCTTAAGCCGAAGAAAGTGAGTAATATTTACAGTAGCTGTTATTGGCATTGTGTATGTGTGTAATGCAACTACGAGGAGATAAAACATGTCACTGGTCCACAATCGCCAAGGAGCACAGGAGAAACCGTTCGGGAAAAGGAAGTTTGCCACCTGAAAATGAACAATCTGTTTACAGAATAGTTTCACCATACCCTTGCCATCAGCAACTATCGGCACTTGACCTTACCCTCCTCTTGCATGGGGGAAACCACTGCAACACTTTATATAGAATGGAAAGTCTGGAAACTTAAAAAAGGGGAATACTGGCAACCTACATGTCTTGGTATGTCCAACTCGGCAAATCAAAAACTGACAGCAAAGGCGACGCAAGGCTGCTACGCCTGGCAAACATCATTTGGCCCCTCACAGGCTTCTGCACAAAGTCTCGTTAGCGTGTCCTGGAGTAGCCCGAGCACAAAGCCATTTGCATGAGAATGTTAGTGCTGTCAACAAGTGAGTCACATAACGCCAACAATTCTCTGAAGCAAGCATCGCTGTGTGAGGGAACAAACAAGAAACAACTGATCCCACCGACCAACATCTCGTCAATGGAGGGTACGTTGGATACCCCCCCATGCAAACCCCTTGGAATATTTTAGCAAATGTTCTGGTATGATTGCACATGGAAATCCAAAAATAATCCAGGACTCATTCACATGCAAATATTGATATTGTATAAATGTCAGTTTATTATATATTCCATGATGGCTGCACATGATAACATACAGTACAAAAATATTCCTGAGAAAAACTGCATATATACATCATTCAAGAAAAGAAGCAACACCAAATTTATGCTCCTTGGCAGGACACCTATTTGAAAAATATTCCAGATCATGCCCCCACGGAGGTCTCAGCATACTCTAAGCAAAAAAAGGTCCGTCATATACGAATATTCCCAGAAATATATTCCACTAACTCAGGGTCAAATCTGGAATATATAACAACGAAATATCGCACCCCCATTCTCGTCACACGAATGATCCACCAAAATGAATGATGGATGATATCTGCAAACGACCACACGAAGCAGAATGCAATATGTCAATATGTGTGTGTGTGTGCAATTGTGTGCATATACGTATGCATGTGCCTGTGTAATGATGTGTAGATGTGTGTGTAGTTTATGCAACTGCACATGCATACGCGTCTTCACCAAAGTGCATGCATGCAATCAATGTTGTCCTTGTCCAGTCCAGCCACCGACAGCATTGCCTGCTGAGACGCTTCGGCAGCCTCCTGCAGAAAGTGTCAAAAATACGTGTTTTGGCCTCCTGACGGCCTCAAGGGTTTGGCATGGTTTGCCGCTTGGACACAATGGTGCTCTTTGTTGTTGTTGTTGTTGGTGGTGGTGGTGGTGGTGGTGGCGGTGGTGGTGGTGTGTGCTTGTTTGTTTGCGTGTCTGTGACACATAGCATCTCTTTATTTCATCTCATCCAGCCTGCATGGCCTCACCACGTAACTTCACGACTTTCAGACCAGTCTCAAAGTCGAAGACTCCCGCCACGGTGAGGGCCGTGTACTCTCCCAAGGACAAGCCTGCCACCGCTTGGCAGCGCTCGACCTGACATCCATGCAAGCCCACTCGACTTCCAAAACCTTCCTGACAGCACATCGTCTGGCAAATCGTCTGAACATATGAGTGACTGTCAAAAGCACCTATGGCACAATGTCACCCGTTGCCTTCTCTGGCTTCTCTGCTCTCAGCTTCTCAACAGCCGCAAGGCCGGCTACATACATTGCTGGCTGGCAGGCTTTGGTCCGCCTCAGGTGAGAATGACATAGAACGACCTTGCTCTTCCGCAAAAGGTTCATGTTGGCTACCTTCCCTTCAATTTGCCGAGAAGCTCTAACTCTGGCTCAGGTCCTTTGAGGCAAAGATCCAAAAGGTTGAAGTCCAACATGTTGTTCGCCTTCTCCAGCATATCCTGCACGCTATCGCTGCTCATCTTGTAAAGAGAAACATCGTGGTCACCAAACATACTCAGTCCACATCTCTCCTTCACAGCTGGTATGTCCTTGACACCTGCCATCATCTTCACATACTGTGAGCCCTGCCCTGGGAAGAGCAGTCCCACCTTGGCCATTGGGGGCACAAGAATTCCAGCCCGCGGGCCAATGAGTGGCGACACATGCTTGCAAGACACTGGCAGCGCGCGTGCGGGGGCAGACGCTACAGGCTCTGGCTCGAGTAGGGCAGCCTGCAACCATATTGTGTCTGTCTTTGTGCAAAATCATCTGTCATGCAATCACCAATGAGAAGCACATGTCTCGAATTCATTATACATACAGACATACATACATACATGCATACATACATACATACAGTACATCACATCACATCACATCACATCACATCACATCACATCACATACATATACACAGAGAGAGAGAGAGAGGGTGCGGGCCCGGGAGTCTTTTCACTCCTTGATTGTTCTTTCATCATATGGGCACATAATACTTTGTTGTGTCTATACAGAAACCTCCGACTACTCTGACGGTGTTCAATCCTTGCTTTGAGATGCTTTGCCTTGGGCTTTTCCTGCTTCTCTGGCTCTTCAGGCAGTGCCACTGGGATCACCTTTGGCTTCACCACCGCCTCTGCTCAACGCTCTGGGATGGCCTAATAGCAATGGCCTCCAACCTACTAGCCACAAACACATGGCTCGCCTTCTTTGCCTTTCCTCCCCCTCCATATGCCAGTTCCAGTGCCAACAGGTCGGGCATGTTGTCATTGAGGCCATCCTGATAGAACCCAACAAGAAACGACCTGCCAACGGTCCGGCATACACACGCTCGGAACAAACACGAGAAATGAAGACCTGGCAGAAGGCTCCTCCGCGATCCGCTTCCCATCAGCAGTCATCCAGCTCTTCTCCTGGTTAGGAATGGTTACAGGGGAGCTATATATAGTGCTGTTATACAAACACATTCCATCATATATACAGTACGCATGTTAAAAGGAATCGGATGGAGAGCTAAAGTTGACCCGGTGTGCCTTCGGGTGGAAGATATCTGCTGGCATCCGCTGAATCGTCCCAGTCTCGCGCTGCACGTAGAAGTGCTTGCCTCCACCATAGAGCAAGGGGTCATTGGCTTGAAGGGCACAGAAGCCTTGCGAAGGCATCCCTGGTGTGGCACCCCAGCAGCCTTGCCTGGCATCTTGGACTCCACCCGGCGCCAGCCAGGAGGGATGTGCAAAGGCACCTTTAAGCAGAGAGGGTTCGATAGTTGTATGATATCGTCTGGTTTGTGTCCATGAACCGAAGCTTCGTGGGAACTTCCTGACTGATCGTCTTCAGTCAAGTGATCTTGCTTCATAAAGACCGGCCTGACCACCATGCTTCAGAAATGGCGCGTTTGCCTCCTGAAACTGCAGCTGGGTCATGCCCTCATAGCTCTCGAAGGGGATGCCTGGCAAAGAGAACCAACGGTGACAAGCCGCATCATGAGGTCGAGGAAAGGGCGCTAACCCCAGGGTATTGCAATCCCTGCTGTTGGAGTAAGAGGCTTGGGTTTCCGACGAAGGGTTTAGTCTGCATTTCACAACTTTCGGCAGAAAGTTAGCAGGAATTAAACAATGTATATGTATATATATATATAAGTTCGAACACCAACGGCCACTCACGATCCAAGTTGCTACTCCATGATGGCTCGTATCCCAGGCCACGGGACTGAATCCCTGCCCGGCTCTCCACCGTGACTGGCTTCACGCCAGGCATGACTGCAAATCTTTGAGCAGAAAGCAACAGCACGCGTGCTTTTCTATTTTTTAGCCCGGGTTGCCCTCACCCTTACTTGATTAAAAAGGCGCCTACTTGAGTAAGCTACTATATAGCTACTGGACACAGGACAGCTGACGCTTTTCATTTTCGAACACGTATCCACATCAGAGATCCGCGACTGCCCCTACCCCACACTTTCCGCACATGAAGCATAATGAAACTCTGCATTTCTTGCACTCGGCTGCCGGCCGCCAAGTACCACCAGCCCAATCATGATGAAGAGGAGGTGCAGCCGCCTGCAATGACAAGTGAGCTTGGCGGATCCAATGTTTGCTGCACAGCGAGTGCACTTCAGCTTGCGTCAGCTGCTCCAAGGACAGTACCAAGCAATCTAGTTGTTTCCAGAGTGGTTGCCGGTCTCCTCACATCCTACGTCCAAACTGGCTCATGTTTCAGAACCACATCAGTAGCATTCACTACTGAAACCCAACTCACTGCAATCCACAGTGAAGCTAAACCTACCAGAAAGAAAAAACTATCCCATGCTTTGTTCGCAAAGCAAACTCAACCCCAGTGGCGTGAAGATCACACCCTCTGCTTCTCTAAAGATGGGCACCAGCCAGAAGAGACGAGTTGTCTCTTCTCTTCCTGAAGTTCTCGCATCTTGGTGCTCAAAGTGGCACGCACTGCTGCATCATTCCCTCCCTGAATCCTGCGCCAGAAAACGTCACTCGAGTGCTGAGCAGGGATCACGGAGAACCAAGCGCCTTCTCCGAGCTCTTTGAGCTGCGCCAATGCAGCCCTGCCTGCTTCAAGGCTGACCATCCGAGTGCACTGCTCAGCATAGGAACAAGAGCACAGTGCTCCAAGGATCTTCTTTTCTGCTACGACTGCCACCTTCCCCTCACCAGGCTGAGCAAACAAATGGACAAGAATCTCCCTGGCAGTCGAAACATCTTCACAAGCACTGATGCCATCTAGGAGCCGTTGGAATTCTGCATGGTGCTTCTGCTCCTTCTCCACAATTGCCTTCTTGGCTATGATTCTTGCTTTCACCGCTTCCATGCGTTGCTTGTAACTACCAGTGCGCCTTAAACTGGGCAGTTGGGCCAGCTCGGACAGCTTCGCTGCTGCGACCCTCCCCACTTCAGGGGCCACCGGCTCAGATTCAGATCTCAACGAGGCCGGAGCAGGAGGAGCAGGTGGAGCAGGTGGTGGTGGAAGCGGTTTTGAGGGAATCGACTTACTTGGGTCTGCTCCGACAAATGTCACAGCGGCAAGAGCTTGCTGAAACTTGACCCTGCGCTCAGACACTTCAGCCCCTTCTGGCCGCAGGAACTTTCCTTCCTTGTCTCGTTGCTCTACTGACAAGTAGGGATTTTCGGTGCCAATCCACACGGCTTCCAACATGCCACCAGCCAAAGCCAAGACCTGCTGTAGACGTTCTGTTGTCAAGTCTCGAGCAGTTGAAGCCTCAACACTCTGCTGAAGGTTTTCGAACGAGGTGATCCTGTACCTGGAAGCTCTGAGCTGCAACACGGTCTCAATGCCATCAAAAAGCAAGAGTAACATAGCTTTCGTCTGGCTCATCTCCTTAGTCTCTTTGACATCCTGCACTTCTTCTGTCAACGTCTTCGCAGCCTTCTCCGCAACCTGTTGGGGGTCAATGCCTTGCCTGGCTCTTGGCAACTTCGGTGGTGTGGCTGTGAGTTCGGGGTGTTGACTGATTCTCTTTCTCTTTGTGGGTGTCGCGGCCATGTCTACCGGTTTCTCACAGACTTCTTCCAAAGTCTGACGACGAGAAGATCTCCTCTGCGGCGGCGATGGTGTAAGCTCCATCTCCTGCGTTCTCTGCCTTCTCTTTGGACGTGGTGTCACTGCCATTTTGGACATCGCACCTCCTACTGATCTACTGCCTACTCAGCTACTCGTTTGCTCGTCAGGGCTTGGCAGCTTCTCAGCTACGGGCGTTGTACCATCTCACGACGACACGACTTGTGATTCTGCTCTTATAGAAAGCGGAATAAGGGCCTACTTTGTGAAAACGCAGCTCTTGGCTTAGTCTTGATTCATGAATTCTCACCCCCGCTCGTTTCAGCACATGCATGGGCTGGCCCAATGGGCGGCCGTCTGCGAAACGAGGGCGAGGCCTCCTGGGAAGAAACTGCACAGTCACTAGCACTGAAAAAATGCAGTATGTCTCTTCAGAGCCTACCCATTGATACTACCTGATACTACCCCGCATTTGTTGATCTTTAAGAGAGTCCTGAGCCATTGCAATACGAGGCCACAGCCAGCATCTGCCGGCCCCAAAGCCTATATATAGCTAATATAGCAAGAAGCATATGGCTGTGCTTTGATATGCTTTCAGGATGGAAACTTTCAACACCTTACGTTGACATACAAGTCTGCCAGCGCGATTGCAGTCCCAATGAAGTGTGCTTACATGTTAATTGAAATTTTGCACGTAGCCCAATGAGCTTGGCAGCTATGTCTATATATCTATTGCTTAGGAGCAAAACATTGCTTAGGAGCAAACGTCCGTGTCCATGGCAGCTTCAGTCGTTACCACTTGATGCTCCAAAGCTACGCGCATCATGTGAGGAGCGCATATTAGTTCTTGATGCTCAACATGCAGTTTGAAGTGTGCAATCATGTTTCATTCAAGGGGACACTCTTTTAAGCAATGCTTGCACAGCAAGATCAAGGCTTCCCTCACGGAAATGATGTTGTACGTGCCATCTGCCTATGTCAAGAATGGGTAGAGGTCGATGGTCTTAGCCCGTCCCTGATGTTCATCCTCAGTTGCAAAAGACTTTCAAAAGGCAGACTTCATTCAGCCTGCAGTGGCAAATCCCTCACTCAAGTTAAGTCTCCTCAAAAATCTAGGAACCAAATGAAGGGCGTCGGGGAGGTTCCTTGAAGATGCTGGGTAGTAGCCACTTAAGCCTACTCCTACGGCCTATCGTCTAACAAAAATAGACCAACACTGTACATATATAATGAATACCAAAAATCCCGGCCAACGGCCAGCACCTCCAAGCACCTCATGAAGATGATGCCCACGGCAAAGGACAGCAGCAACTTCGCATCTTGCCACGCAGCGTCAAGACCGACCTCCATTTTCGCAAGCATAAAGTTAAATAAGTAAATAAGTAAACTAATAAACAAATAAATATAAATAAAAATATAAGTATATATATATATGAGGGACGGTCAAAACTCCTTATTCTTCTTCAGCTAAAAAATGGACGTCATCGGTTTTGAGGTGGACCTTATCGTTTTACAGCGTTTTGAGTTCGTCGCATACTTATGACCATATACAGCGCTGGGGTTATCGGTTTTGAGGTGGACCTTATCGTTTTGCAGGGTTCTGTGCACAAACCTACCCCTCTTTACTAAAGTGGTCTTCGCATGTTTTGACCGTGGCTCATATATCTGTGTGTGTGCATGCTCTTTCATAAAGGAGACCAGAAGAGTGGGTTAGCAAGCTACTAGCCGGCTACAGTAGCTTGGACACAGGAAAGCTCAGGTTTCTTCAGAGAAGCCCTCGCGCTATTCATTGGTTCCAGGGAACCCTTAACTCACAGTCACGGCACTGGTTTGGCAAAATGAAGAACGACAAAGCCAAAACTTGCCTACACTAAAAACAGGGCAACAACTGCACATTACATGCATACAGTTGCATTTGGAGCCTATCCTAGCCTTCTGGGGTGTAGTTTCCTCGACCCTTGATTGCAGGGGAGCGCTTACTCGCTTCAATACCGTTCTTTTCCTCATCAAACGAAAATTCAACTTGATCAAATGACGCAAGGGATCCCCAGGGTTCCGCAGGGGTTCACAAGCGTTCCAAGGGTTCCATTTGTCACCTCTCAGTTTGTCTCGAGGATAGACTGACCTAGACTGCAACACACAGACTTGGGCGTCTCTGGCCTGGGTCTCTGAGATTTCTTGTGCGGCAGCTGTGACCAAAAGCACAGCAAGCAATTGGCGAGTCATGGATTGGCAGCTTGGGGGTAAGCTTCCAAGGTAGATCGTAGAGGCCTGTGCTAAACCGTACTTGGAGCCGAAAAGTGCGGCGGAGCTTTCCTTTGTTGCCTTGGACTCCGCAGCCGGAAGTAGGCAGTCAAATTTCTCCATGCCTCGACCCATTGCCAAACCTCGGCCCGGCAAAATCCCAAAGAAATGCCCAGGGAACCTGTTTATTCCACACAGGGCCAAAGCATGAAATTATGATACTGGAAAATCCCCACGTGTGGGAGAACAACAAGTGCCCCTTGCTCCGGATGCCATAACGTCTGAATAACATGTCAAGAAAAATGCACGGATTGGTGCATGCCAATCCGGACTCTGAAATGACAACAGGCGACAACAGGTATGCTCATTATGTCCGAATGCATGTCTGTAACCTCGCCACAGTTCTTCGCAAGCCAGCTCTTCGGTCTTCGAATGCTGACCGGAATCCCGCTTTAAGCGCGGATGTGTGGTTCATTAGCAGCAACAAATATATACATTAAAATACGTTGATTCATCACGTACACAGTCCGCATGTCTTGGAGCATACTTTGCCTCGGGACAGCCCGAAGAAATAATAGCAATAAAGTGCCTCAAAGTCCAACGACCCTCTCTAAAATGTTCAAACACCCAAGGACGAGGAACTCGCAGGTGAATTGAAGGCAATGAGCATGGGACACCACCCATTCACCTTCGGATTTCAACCAGCACAATCTACTCTTATATATGTATATTTATTTATTTTTTGTACATATACAGTATATATATATATATCAGTATCGCTGCAGGTGGGAGGCAAATGCCCCCCTCTGTGCTGGAAGGAATGTTTAACAGGTTCAACATCATCGAGTCTAACTCTACAAAGGGAGGAAGGATCAAAAAATACTGTTTTTAATGTATGCAGGTGGGGGGGACAGGTGTTGAAAAACACCGGTTTTGGGATATGTCTGAAGGTGCGAGGGGATCAAGACCCGAATTGTATGCATGGGGAACGCACTCACCGATGCACATCTAATTTTTTGGCATCAGCGGCCATAGGGGGACAGGGTCAACAAAAAACGCACAACATGCTTAAATATATCAAAGGATATATAGCTGATTTTCCTGATAGTGTATGAAAGCCAGGGACGAAACCGCCTGAGGAAGCATACCTTGTAAGGAAATGTATGACGGGGCGTGGGGCATCCACAACCATCGTATCAACTTAAAACGTCCAAAGTAAATTACTTTACTTCGGGCGACCCCCACCTGTGAGGAGCATGCTGCCGTGGTCGTGAGCTTTGTGGTTCTCGACTTTCTTTGTGGGTCCTCGGGTTGTGTGCTGTGATTGTGGCTGTGTGTTGTGGTTGTGTGCTTTGGTTGTGTGTTGTGGTTGTGTGCTGTGGTTGTGTGCTGTACATGTGTCCTTGTGGTTGTGTGTTGTGGTTCTGCGTTGTGGCTGTGTGTTTGTTGTTGTGTTTGTGGCTGTGTGTCTGTGGGTGTGTTTGTGGTTGTGTTTGTGGTTGTGGTTGTGCTTGTGGCTGTGTGTTTGTGATTGTGTGCGTTTATGCTTGTGTTTGTGGCTGTTTGTGGCTGTGTGCTTGTGACATGTTTGTGCTTGTGTGCTTGTGGTTATGTTTGTGGTTGTGTGTTTAAACTGTTTGTGATTGTGGTTGTGGTTGTGTGCTGGTTGAGGCCCGGCGGGGAACACTGCCAAGCGGACCTCATGGTTGAGGTCCGGCGGGGCACACTGCCAGCCAGAGCTCGCGGTTGAGGTCCGGCGGGGAACACTGCCATCCTGCGCTTGCGGTTGAGGCCCAGCGGCGAACACTGCCATCCTGCACCCGCGGCTGCGGTCCAGAGGGGAGGCGGAGAAGGAAGCGGAGGAGGAGGACGGCAGCTGACATAAAGTCTAACAGCCCTCACCGGACAGGTGGGGAAAATGTACAATATTGGAAAGTCATACCTGAGAAGGGAGACGAAAGCCAGCTGCCGCTTCATTATACGTGGGTCCCTGTCTCCACAAATAGTCTTCAATGCCCTTCATGATGCTAATGATGCACTACTCGGCGTCCATTACATCACTCGCATCACCAGACCCCATGTTCACTGCTCTCCCCCACCAAGCTCTGGGTTCACCTGATCAAAAGGTTCCGCTCAGCGGCCACCCCACCCCCACACCCCCTTAACTCACTTCGTTTGCCCTAAAAGCTCAAGCCTTGCCTATCGGCTGGCTTTCGTAAAATACATATATGTTTTTTTACATATACAGAATCACTTCCAGGGGTGTGAAATCTGGAGACCAGGAAATGTATAGCTGCTAGCTTTAATGGGGGGGTACAACCCCTGAATATACATTTATGTGACCCGGTGATGGTTCGACTATTTTTAGACATGTTGTGTGACAGGTTTGAATCCTGTTGTGGGTGTGGCCATTTTGACTCCCTTTACTCCCCCTTGCGCATGGCCTGCAGGGTCGAACAGTTGAATCCAAAAGCACCGGGCACATCTCCATCAAAACATGGAGCAGCAGATGTGTTGCTCATGTTGCTGGAGTTGGTCCCATTGCAAAGCCCGCAGGTTTCAGCACACAATTGCTCTGCTTCAGTTGGAATGCTGCAAATTCCAAGCAGCTTTGCTTCCTCACAGTTCGTTGCCGCTGAGGATGGTGGAAAGTTTGGGGCGTCGCCACAGCCTCTGCAGCTTGCTGGGCAGTAAGCCGGTCTGCTTTCGGATAAGCATCCGCAGGTGTCTGGGCAAACAAGTGCCAGTGGCGCAAAGTATCGCTCACTCCCCTCACACCAATCGGCTTGAGAAATTGGGTCCCGAGAGCCAAGGATAAAAATGCCCAAACATCCAATCGATTTCATCATATGGATCAAAGCCAGGATTTTTTGACCACTAGGAGTGCTGAGCATGTCCACGCCTACAAGGGATGACATCACTGTGGGATATAGATCCCAAAAGTCGTGCCAATTCTCGGTGGTGTTGGCATCTTTGCACTCCAAGTTCCCAGCTATGGCATTGGCTTCGTCTCGGCATGCCTGGGGACAGCCCTGGCTTGGCACTTTGTACCACGGCAACGCTCTAGGATCAGCACAGCCGCAGGTGCGAGGGCAAACCAGTCGCAACAGCCTGGCATCCAAGACATTGCACCACTGAGACAGTTCAGAGCAAGAAGTGCCTTCACTTCGTCCAAGATGAAAAGCTGCGGATCGGAAATACGAGCCGTAGTTCTCCAACAGAGTCGGACCTTTCACGGCCCACTGATCATAGTCCAGGCAAAACGCAAACTGCTCTGCTGCCTCTTTCATTGATCTGACACGGCTCAACTCAAAGCTGTCCAAGTCAAGCGAGAAGGAAATGTACCTGGCCGACCTGAACCGTCCCGAGTCACGATTTACCAGAACGCCGTCACGTGCGAACATACACACACAAACCCTCCCTGTCCCTCTCAAAACACACGGTAGCACTCACTTTGTGCCTAAAGGTCGACCTGCGTATGTCGGGGTGAAAACCTGTGCATGAAAGTTCACTCCGCTCTTGCTTTGCGTTGGAGTGGTGTCAGCCGGAGCAGTGGGTGCATGCTCTTCGGCTCAAAATTTTATGGGTCGCTCGACCCTGCAAAACATGGCAGCTCTTCTTGGCGTGCCACACTTCCCCTGTCGGAGCATAGTAAATCTCCTTTCCCAAGGGGCACAGCTCCCTGTGCAACTCAAGGCCTCGCTCAGCCGCAGCGGAACTTGCCGAGGTGGACGTGATGTCCTCGTACTGGCGAAGTCGGTGCCGGAGACGAGTGTGGGCCGTCTCCTCCAGCTTGGTCTGATTCAGGGACCAAGTCAGGTCCTTCTCCAAAGCCATCTTCTCGGCCATCAGGCCTGACTTCTCCCTCTCGAGCTCCTCGATCTGCTGCCTCAGCCGCTTGACCTCTGCAATCAGACCTGATGTTGAGAACAGGTCACATTGGCTTTCCTTGTCCTTGGCATAGCGGATGCAGCACTTGAGCACTCGGTGCAACGGCTTTCCAGCCATATGCCACAGAGCCACTGCAGCCACAGCAATCACTGCCATCATGTAGTACAGTGATTTGTCACCTTCATCTTCTTCTTCCTTCGTCGCAGCCTCGCCACCTTGGAAGACGGCGAAAAAGCATAGTGCCACCAGCAAACTGGTAGTAGGGCTCGTCGATGATGAAGCCAAGCTCTTAAGCAACTGTTCATCTCCTTGGTGAAGATGTCCTTCTTCCACTTCTTGCAGCACTGGTAGCCTTCGAGCTTCAATGGGGTGATTCGGCACGTTGAAGAATCGCACGATTCCAGTTGTGAGGAGTTCGTTGAGCGATGTGGAAACCATCACCTTAGTCAGTGCGTCGCTTGTCATGCACTGCGTAGGGATCATGATGACCCACCGGATGCGTCCACAAAGACGGGCTTCACGATGTGCCATGATGTAGATGCGTTGGCCCTTGTCCTGGGGCATCGCCTTGACCCCTGTGGTGAGCTCATAGAAGTCTCTGCAGTCGGTATAGAAGTCGACCGGCAGGAAGGGCACTCCTTTCTCCTGTAGCGCAGCCAGAGAGGCTAGTGAAGGCTTGTTGTCGGGCATGAGCAGTTCACCCAACCTCAAAGAGACCAGCGATGAAGACTCCAGGCCATTGATCGCAGCTAAGGTCTCTCCGTGACTGGTCGAGTAGCTGATGCGTTTTGCTTTGTTGCCCTGAGCCCACAGCAAATGAGCAGGTCCTCCAAAGATCTGCGGATCATGATGCAAGCCGTCAATCTCGTGGATGGTATTGTCCAGGTTGAGGCGATCCACAGTCAGGAAAACCATGATGCCTTCGTTGGCATAGGTGCGTCCCTGCGAAGCCGAACTGGCGTCATGAACGCATGCCAGTCTCCATGAGGCATTCTGAGGAAGATGCCGGTAGATGATGCCCAAGTCCTTGTACTTCTTGTCTTGGGCACGCTTCACAATGGCGTTTGCCATCTTCAGGTGTTTGACCTTGGCTTGAGTGACAAAGGTCTGCAGGCGGCACACGTCCGCAATCAGGTCGATGCGGGTGGCCGTAAGCCACAACAGGCCGCCCAGGATGGAGCGGTACTTGGTGGTCTCCTCCTTGGTGAGAGAGCGCTCCTCGTCCTTGTCATTCTCAACCTCAGTCATCTTCAAGGAGCTTGTGAAGTCATATTGCTGGATGCGGTAGCCCTGTGCAACTTTCTCATACACCATGCCACAGTGTTGGAAGGGCATCTTTTCACGTGTCACCTTACCAAACTTCTTGGTGAATTTCTTGTGGAAGCTTTCCAGCATCTCAGGATTCGTGGCCACGGCAATGTCGTCCACGTGAGTGGTGAGAATGGTGCTCACCAGGCCATCGGTCTTCCAAAAGAACATGTTCTCGTCGAACACGGACTGTTGGCCACCAAGCTCCTCCACAAACTCACGCAAACACAACTGCCAAGCCAGGGGAGCATCGTTGAGACCATAGACCGGCTTGTTGCAGCCCAAAAGGTATTCGCTCATCTGAGCTTCTGGGATGTCGAAGCTCTTGTCCATCTTGGCCAATTGGCGCCAGACATTGGCTGGTGGAATGATGGCCACCAGGCGTCGAGGAGAGACGCCTCGCTCACGCAGCTTCTTCCGCACCTGATCAAATGACAGGCCTTTGAGGAAGGCCCCGGAGACATCCAGTGACTCAATCTCCAGGTTCATGGCAGCAGCCAAACTGACCAGAATCCGTTGTGACAACCTTGTAGCTGTCGTAGAGCGAGTAGGCATTGATGCCTTCTGAGGATCCAAGAATCCTCTGGCGCACAGCCGGCTCTTGGCTTTCATGGTCTTGTCGGGGTTCCTCTTGAACTTCCTGACCCATGTGCAATCAACGATGACCATGTCTTCCGTCACCTGGCTGATGTGCATCTTGAAGAATGCTCCTTCATCCACAAACTGCTTCAGCTCTGCAAAATCCGAGAGCTCAAAGGCGTCCCAATGCGGTGCCAACTTCTCTTCTGTCATCACGTCAGTGTCGGCATCCACTCGAAAGATCTCTGTGGTCCTCATGTCCATGTAGAGGATCTCTTCAGTCTTCCCGTGGAGGTGGAAGATGTAGTGCCTGGGACGTGGTGAGCTCGGCGTGGCTGTCTTCTCTGGTGGAGTCCTGTTGTACTGCATGATGAGGGAGTGATTGTCAAACCAGATCTCGTCACTCGGGTAGTTGACCTTGAGTGGTCGCTTCGTCATCCACCATAGAGAATTCAGGAGCAGCTCTTGTTCTGTGGGACCTTCATCTTCTGCATACTCATAGCGCGCCTTCTTCTTCTCAGGTGCCATGACTATAGTTCTTGTCTCAGGGCCATCTCGCTTTCGAGACTCTGAGGTGTCCATAGGATCCTGTTGCGGTGCTTCAGGAGGTCGTCGTGATGTGATCTGTGCTGGGGGCGATTCCTCATGATAGATGGTGAAGTAGTACATATAGAGGTGACAAACATCTTCCAGCACTGTATGCATGATCTTCTTGAGCACCAAATGACTGTCTCCATTGTGCTCCATCATCACGTACTGCTTGGATCCTTTTGGCCATGAGATCAAGACGCCTTTTGAGAACTTTGGAACATAGACCTGCTTGACAGCTCTTCCATAGCGAATGCCATGCAGCTCTTTCTTGCTGAAGAAGGATGCCACTCTTCGTGCTTTGGCCAAGTATTCATTCTCTTTCTCTGTCATCTCGGCAGGAACCTTGGCCCATTCTAGAGAGGCATTTGCGGCATTCTTGAGAAGAAAGCCAATGGTGTGCAGCTTGTAGGGATCACTCTCTTCAACCATCTGCTGCAGCGAAAGCAGATCCTGTTCACAAATCTCCTCCAGGTTGTCGGCCAGGCAATGAGAAAAGAAGCTTCCTCGATAGACCCGGATGTGGCGCAGACTCATGAGATATGGTCGTCCCTGGTACTCTACGATGCATGTGCCATCGGAGTCGTTGATCTTCAAAAGAAGTGCTGGACCTCTCCATCCATAGTTGCCATCATCTCTGTAGATCTCAACTTGCGTGGAGCCTGCAATGAGATTGGACAGGTCCAGCTTCTCAGGCCGAGTTCGGCCGGCACGCACGATCCTGTCTTCTAGGATGGATGCTTGTGCTGCTTGAAGTGCGATCTGTCTGAATCGTGCTGCACGTTCGAAGGGAGACTGATCCATGTCTGCGCTTGCCACTGATAGTGGTACTTCTTCAACATCTAGATAGCCGCGAGGAAGGATGCCGAAGACCATCATGGAAGGACTGTATCCTCCAATGTTCAGTGTGAGGTTATGTGCCATCGATGCTTCTGCCGCCAACTCATCAGGTTCAGGTGTGATGGAGAACCTTGCAGCTTCTGTCGCACACTTGGCCATGGTCATCTTCAAGAGGCCAATATGTCTTTCCACCATGCCCGTTCCAGTGTGCTTCTTTCCAGCTGCTCCACTCGTTGTGCCCATGGGAACACGTTCGATGCCAAGGCGATCAAACTCAGGAGCAGCTTCTTGCGACATGAGAGCACCTTCTTGGTCACAAACAATTCTCTTGGATGGCCCAAAATAGCGGAACCACAGCTGCATCATCGATTCCAGAAAACTGCTCAGCTCACGTGACTTCAATCGTCCAGCGACCTTGTAGCGAGTGGCTTCGTCCACAATGCAGATGAACAGATCAGAACGCCACTGGAAGAAGTCGACTTGGAGCACCTCATTGAAATCTTTTGCAAGGCCACTCTTGACCTGAGGACGTCTTGTGGCTCGGGTGAAGCGCCTGCAGACAGCGCATGCTGAAACCACTGTCTTTGCCAATTGTAGAACTTCAGGAGGCATGCCACAGCGAGCCAAGACGTTCTTGAAGTCCATCACGGGACAATGCCACATTCTTTCATGGAGTCCCAACAGAAGGCGTTTTGCTTTTGCTTCATCTGTTGTGGTCAATGAGGGCAGTTTCTTGAAGATGCGGCGGAAGTCATAGAGAGGCTTGATGGTGGTGCTTGCTTCGCCTTCATCCGCCTCAATCACTTGGACTTCTTCATCTTCATATGGAACTGGCATGACCTCATCTATTGGTTGAAACTCTTCTGCCGGCTCTTCTTTCACTTCAACTCTTGGAGGAGCTGGCGTACTTGGTGCTGGTGTGCCAGGAGCAGGTGTCTTCGATGCCGGTGTACCAGGCATAGGTGTCTTTGGCGCTGGTGTGTCAGGCAGAACCGGTGCAGGATTCTTTGATGAGCTTGCTGAAGGATATTTGCCGAACACGCACACAAGCCAATCCTCATCGAAGTCGACTGGCTCATGACATTGATGATGTGATAGCTCACGAAGATCCTCCAGCGGCAGCAATCTCCAGGCTTCAATGTTGCCTCGAATCATCAAGCGGAGAAAAGCTTCCTCAGCCTTAAGATGTGGCGTCGGCACCGGCTTCGTCCATGGCTGTAGATGCGCACAGACTCCAGAGACGGTGATCTGCTCTTTGAAAACCTGTCGGATCCATGCTGTTGTGATGGGATCACGAAGCCAGTGGATGTAGTCCTTTTCCTTCTCCTTCACATCGAATGCCGCCATGCTCTCTGAGAGGATCTTGTAGAGGGCGTACTTGAGGAGAGTCGCCTGCTCGCTGTTGAAGCCAAAGTCCGCACCAGTTGCCAAAGTGCTTTTGGCTATCTTGCTATTTGTCATTGCTTCACGGCGGAAGGCATCCATGAGGTTCTCTTCCTTGGCTGCGGTCTTGGCCTTTCTTGAACGAGGATCCTCATCAGGATACTTGCCATATCGGCATTCACCAGGCATGAAGGTGTGCTCCATGTGTCGTGGTGCAAAATGTCCAAGACTGCAGCGCTCGCACTCCCAGTACACCTGGCTCACGAAGTTCACGGCCTTCTTGATGTCCTTAATGATGGCATGACATAGCTTCCGTGGATACACCGAGGCAAGTGTCGTTCTGTTCTTGCCATTGACTTGTCCTTGGAGCCAGCCGTGAGGTTTGCCGTGTCCTCCACATCGTAGCAGGCATCGTTGTAGAGTGCGGTTCGACTGAAATCCTGTTGGCTTCAGCACTGGAGAACCATCCTCATTCATGGCGCCAAACTGGCATTGATCTGTCCTCTGTCGTTCTCCAGGAAGATTAGTGCTGATGACCAGGGCTGTTCAAGCATGAACATCTTGCGTTGTTGATGTTGCTTCTTGCACATCTTCTGCAGCTCATCGAGTGCCGGTTTCTCTTCTTCTCTTTCTCGAGCTGTGTCCTCAGGATCTCGACTGTTCGAAGACACAGACCAGGGCCTGCAGTTTGGTGAGCCCATCAGGCACTCTGGTTCCAGTTCTGCATGAACACGTCGAAGTAGTGTCTGATGTGGTCCATAGCCGATGTCCCAGCCATAGCGCATGTCTACTGGGAAGCAGACTGTCAGGCCAGAGAGCAAAGCCAGAAGAGATAGCCTTGCCGATCCAGAGCACACTTCCCACATGTGGAACTTCCTCTTGCTGTGCTTAGCTCGCTCAAGCCAGGAGAGACAGTTCTGTGGCGTGACTGGTGCTCGCTTCAAATGGCTATAGAACTCTTCGGGCACAGCCTTGTAGAACTTCTTGAGGTAGGTCCTTTTGTGGTCTGAGATGTGCTCGGGAAAATGGTCATCCTCATAGTGCTGAAGCTCTTCTTCATAGAAGATGTGGTCCTCAGCGTCGGCGATGCTGACCTCGATGCGCTCATCATTTGCTGCCTGCTTCTTTGGAGTCTCAACCTTCGGATAGTGGTCCTCCTTGATCTCGAAAACAGTCATTCCTGTCCATTTCTTCAGCAGCATCTTTTGGGCAGTGTCATCATTGATCCATGTGTCGCAGATCTCTTCCGTGGAGCCGTCATCGTAGAGGATGTGTGAGGTGCGAGTGATTTCCAGAGATGAGAGCTTGTCTGGAAACTTGCTTGTCTGCGGCGAAAAGAGGGCTTGACGGCTTCGAACATGATGTCGGACCCAGTGTCCATCATGTTTCTGCCAGTGATCTCGATGATGATGCTTTGGTGATGGCATCAGCACTGCTGCAGGTGGAGGTGGATCATCTGGTTGTGGAGCATAAAGTTCATCATGTCGTAGCTCTTGAGTGCGAGGTTGTAGAGCATGATGTGTTGCCTTCTCTTCACTCCGCTCAAGCTCTGCGTCGGAGGGTGCCGAAGAGACTGCTGTCTGGAAGCAATAGCGGAGATGGCCAGCGCAGTCACTCCATCTCTCTTGTGCTTGCTGTTGGACTTGTCCAAGGAAGTGCACTGCTTTTCTCTGATCCTCCTTTCTCACATGCTGCGTGCCATCGAGCGGGATGATGTAGTGTCCTGAGTCAGTCAGGAGCAGCCGAATCATGGTAGGCTGACTTGAGGAGTTGTCTGTGTGGCAAACGAGCAGTCCATCATTGTTCTGGAAGAACTGTGTGAGCAGCACTGCTTTCATCGCTCTGAGGCTTGGGTTCCCGATCAAGGCTGGACACAATGAGCCTTCTCCTCCAATGACATCGGCTGAGAAGGAAGCACGATGATTTTCGTCCAAGCCGAACTCAAAGGTCACCTCAGCCAAGGTCGAATCTCCTTTGCCGGAGATTCCCGTCACGGAGGTGCTCCGTTCCTTCCAGGTGATGAACTTGTCCAAGCCGGAGGGCTTCAAGCAGCTGTCCACCAGATCTCTGAGTGTCTCGCTTCCAATTAGTCCAGCGGCTGCGCCAGGATCTACCAGTAGACCTCGTCGTTGACGGCCAGCCACTGTGTGGTACGAGCTGAGGGTCACATCGTCCACGGCTTCATGATGGATCATGACCGGGAAGTTCAAGACCTTCTTAGACGAGAGTGCTGTCTCGGTGGACTCACTGCTCTGCTCAGCTGCTTGTTCACGATGGCGTCGCAGAAAGTCTTCTTCTCGACTGATGTCAAAGTTCAGGACGGCAGGGTTCTCATCGGGCGTTGATGAAGCCGCAGCAGAAGGGCCAGTGAGATCAATGCCAAACCTTGCATGGTGCAGTTGTCTGGCTTCTCTGATGCTCTTCGTGGGACTGTTGTCAGCTTCATGGGTGAAGACGGTGGAGGTCATGTAGTTCTTGCCTTTGCCCTTGCTGAAGTCACGAGACCAGGGAGCAAAGCCTTTGCCTTTGCCTCTGAAGCCACCTTTCTTGCCTTTGCCCTTGAAGCTGCTTCGCTTGCCTTTGAACTTGCCCTTGCCTTTTCCTTTCTGCCATCCACGACCATCTCGATGTCCTGAACTGCCTTTCTGCATAGGGCATGAAGAAGCATTGTGCCACTTTGATCCACAGACAGTGCATCCCAGGCCCAGAGAGCCTTTTCCTTTGCCCTTGTAGTAGTCCTCGGTCACGGATGGGGATGCGGGATCATTGAGGTTCGCTTCTTCTGACCATTCGTGGCTGGTGTCATTGTCCTGCCAGTAGTCCTCTGCCCAATCATAGCCAGTCCAGTCATAGACATCCTCAAAGCTCTCGTCTTCGCCGTAGTAGAGCTCAGGCCACCAATCTTGCCATGGGTCGTCTGGTGGATATTCTTGCCAGTAGTTCTCATTGGTTGACGACCATGGATCTTGGTGACTCTCGGAGTCATGCACGGTCCAGTCCTGGGCGTAGTCCTCTTCAATGCTGTAGATCTTAGATCCCGACGGAGCCTCATAGTAGCTCTGGCCTGGGTCTTGTTGTCGTGAGGCGGGTCGTAAGGCCAGATTCTTGGCGTCATCGAAGCGCCGCATGTCGCCATGGATCTGGAGCAGGATGTCTTCCACATGCTTCTGAGGCAATTGAGATGCCCTGAAGAAGAGGAAGGTTTTGGCGACGTTGTTGATCTGGAGCCCGGCGTGTGTGATCGCCTCTTCAAGCTTGAGGTTCCACTCGACAGCGAATTCTTGAAGTGAGAGTCGTCCTCGTCGCATGTCGAAGAAGGTCTCCAAAGATCTCGTCGCCTGAACCTGCTCGGCGTCACCAAAGGCCTCCTTCAGCGCGTTCATCAGCGCCTGGACTCCAGACGGGATGGCATGTTGCAGGATGATCGCCTGGTTCATGGGGTCACGAACTTCCTCGACTGCTAACCTGACCAATGCAGCGTCTCCAACGTCCACGTTGCCTAATGGATCAGGAAGTCGAAGGGAGTGAGCGATCGTCTGAGCTCTGCCCTGCAAACGGCCCGCGATGAGCGGGCCAACCATCTCGTCTGGTCCTTCGAAGGTCCTGTACCACATACGGATTCGCTCCATGTACAGCTTCAAACTGTATGTGGGATCACCAGGACTCCATCCAGGAGGAGTGTCCTTGCGGAACTCACCGAGTGGGAGTCCGCCTGGAGGCGGTGCCGCCTGTGTCATGGCAGCGAGCTCCTTCGCGATGTCCGGGATCGCTTCGTAGAGCTCGAAGAGGTGGTTGTTGGCACCCAGGAGGGACACAAAAAGAAAAGCGCAGGTCGAAAGGGAGGCCGCCACCATGTGCGGAGGCGCAGGATGCAAAATGCAAAAAAAAGACCCTGGATGGCGCGGTACGACCGATCCGAGGGGTGGAGCCTCCACTGAAGGAGGCTCCGCTACCAAACACGGTAGCACTCACTTTGTGCCTAAAGGTCGACCTGCGTATGTCGGGGTGAAAACCTGTGCATGAAAGTTCACTAAAACAACACTCCAAGAAGTCCAAAGTAGAGAGCAATCCGAGTGTCCCATTGCTCAAACTGCCCTTTGAATGCTCAGCAACTGCCACCTGTCCCAGGGTACTGTCAGAGACATTGTCAGACTCAAGTGGCACCGAACGGAAGCCCATATACATCTGCATGTCCTCCAGGCAAAAAGGCCGGATCAACGACAAATGCTTGGCCCTTGCAAGTCAAGTGCAGGTCATTTTGTCACCTTCAGCCTTCTTCATTCATGTGGATTCATGATGTCGTCAATGAGCTGTTGAAGTTTCAGGGGCTCCAATTCACAACACACAGAATCTCCTGGTTCAAACTCACGACGAAATCCCTATTCCCATCGCAGTACTCGGACTTCACCGCAAGCATGCTGTCAGCAAGTGGAAGTACCCAGCTGATGAATGGCGCCAGCACGACCACGACAAACAAGCACCCGACCAAGCATGATTCTAGTTGACCCCACCTCCGAGTGAATCGTACCTTCACGGGCTCAAGTTCATATATCGCGGCCTGGACTCTTTTGGGAAATAGCATCGTGAAAATCATCTCGTCAATCTGCAGAATTGCTTCCAGTGCAACTGCATTTAAGATAAGATCCGTTATGTTTGTAGTTCGTGCCAGCCATTGGGTGCCAGCATACATCAAGCTGATAGCTACTGCAGTCCGTGCAAGCCGAAAAAGCAAATAGACTGAAAAGCGGAGATAGGATATAGACAGAAAGCCTTGGCGAGAAATGCCGTGGCGAAACAAATCAATCACAAACTGCAAAAACACCCCTTGACCTGAGCCACGGACTGCCGTTGCGGACGACTGTCGTCCCGGAACGTGGAATCTGAGCAGCTGCCACAATAGAGATTCCAATAGCACGGAGCTCCCCACTCAAGACGACGCACCATAGCATGATGCAGAGGGTGCAAAGGACGATACCTGGTGGAACCATCGCTAGTTGGAAGTCCCCTGCGTCGATCCCCAGAAACTGGTTGATCTCCTCGATGAGCTCAGCTTGACCGGTGGACAAAATCAAAGCACCGTCTGCATTGCCTCGGCTTTCAGGTTTGATCTGGTTGAGGTGTGCAACAATTTGAAGAGACTGCGCTTGCCGCATGCCCCAAGAATATCTCATGCAGCTCCAGCCACAGACTCGAGAGACAAGACTTGTCAGTGCTAAGTCCATGTACCTGAGACAAAGACGAGTAGACTGGCAAGACTGTGGTGCAAATTCCGAGAGTTCTTCACACAGTGCAAGTCACTTCGGATTGACGGGAAGTATTCCTCATACTGTGCACATCACATGCCTGTGACTGCATGAGTTTCTGTGAGGCCATTGGCGGCCGGGCAACTTCACATCGTGTGCAGAGCCTGCCCTCCAGTGCCTTGCTGCCTCCACCTTGAAAGAGAAGGGACTGGCAATATCATCTCACCAGCTTCATATCTTAGCAGTTTTAACATCCAGTACACTATGCCAAAAGTTGCCAGTTCTGTGGCAATCCGGCCTGTTCCTCCATGCTTTCTCCCAAAAAACTCTCTGTTGTTATGACGGCAATAAAGAACACCTGCATCAAAGTTCCTTGCACAGGGTAATCAAAAATACTCTCACTCAAGTTAGTATGGTTGCATTTGTGCACCTGGGAAGTCAGACTTGGTGACGTTGTGCCGTTGCAGTTGTTCTAAAAACTTAGCAACTCCAGAAGCACTCATAAACTGCCCAATCTCGTCAAGCTGCCCAGCACTGTGACAAGGCAAGCTATGGTCAAGTCCAACCATCCTGCCCTGCTGTGTCCAAGCACTAGTGACAGGTTCCAAACCTCACGCAGCTCAAGAGTTGGAGAATCTGAACTTCCAAAGAGCCTTCCATTGTGAAAAAGACTCTACTGACTCTACTGAGGGTCCCAAGTGTGATTTAAATTCCCCTGAGCCAAGAATCCGTCTCCGCAAATGGAATAGGTTCTTCATCGATGGCCCCCTCACCCTGACAAAGTCGAGAAGTCGGAGCAATCTGTTCAGGAATCTTGCGTCCAGAAAGGTTGCTTTAACTTGCACCGGACCAAATTGTTTGAAGCTGGCAAGCTGGCGTGTGCAAATGCGCAATTTCATGTTTCTTGCAAACGGCAAACATGCCCACTCCCTGGGCAGCCTACATCTGCGACCATCTTGGTGCTGGGTGTGGGCCACATGTCAATACAGTCTCCATTGATTCGTTTGTAGGAGGCCATTGCTAGTAGGTTGTTTGCCCGGAACTCTGAAAATGAACTATTGTAGATATACTTGCAATGTTGCTAGTATGCAAGTAAGGGCCATTGGCGCCTCAAGATCATTGACCTCCTCCTTCCACTTGGCAAACCCAACGCCTTCAGGATGGACCACGGTTGGCACTACTGGCACCGTACCAGGCACCAAATAGCCCCCAGGCTTCTCAGCTGGTTCAGCCTCAGCCCTTTCCATTGGTTCTGGCTGCTCGGCCAGTGCCAGTTTGCCAGGTAGTATATCATCCAATCTCCTGCGGGAGTACAAAAAGTCAAATCCTTGCTGCAGTGCATTCTGTTTCGGTGGTGAAAGCAGTTTGATGCCTGTATTGGTGCTCTCTCTCTCTCTCTCTCTCTCTCTTTCTCTCGCGCGCATGACTTGTCACTGAGCCGTCTCACAGAGACGCCCGACTGCAACTTCTCCCAAAAGGCCGGAGGCCAAGGGGCAAGACAGAACGGACGGGGGAAAGCTAAGAGCGAAAATGATTCAGTCCTCAGTTTCTCCTCGATGTGGTCGATCTTTTGTGCCAAAGGTTGCACCATGAATCGCATCTCATCCTGCAAGCGCCGCTCAAGAGCCGCCACCTGCGCAAATGCTTCAATGCCAGCCAAATCGAAAGTGAATTGAACTATGCGCTCCTCAACCCCTCCAACACAGTGCCTTTTTTTCCAATTTCACGGCCGACATGCTTCCGGGAATGTGCCCCGCATATAGTCTGATCTATGTCTGATTTATAAACACCAAGTGACCAAGTGTTTCCTGACACCGCATCGTAAACGGTCTGATTTGTTTCTGGTGCATCTGATCTGCAACAATCTTTTTGTCACTTTAACCGGGCGTCGTGTCAAACAGCCGAGAGGAGCTGCAGCAATAAACCATCGTTCATCGCGGCAACATATTGTCTTGAGCCAACTGCCCTTCAACGCGCACAAACGGCAATGAGTCCTTTACAAAGTACGAGCTGAAGAGGCAGCTAAAGCCATGAGAGCCTAGCAAGCGTCTTCTGCATGTGCAAATCATCCACGCAATCCAATGTGGGGCTTGTCACGATGGTTCCTTAATGGTCATATTGTGAGCGTCCATGGTCCAAGATCACAAACGCCTGTGGCCTGTGGCCCATTGTGGCCCCAGAAGCCTCGAATTGAGCAGTCTTCGCTCATGCTTGGATGTCACACGTTGCCCGCGCAACAGCCACTGGCAGCCCGCTCCAACACCTGCCGAACTGAGCGGAGGAGATACCATGCTAATCAGCCAAAAGGCGAAGGCGCCATAGCACGAGCACTTTGAAGAGGATGAAAAGCGAACAAGCCCTGAAGAAACTTTCCAGCGGCAGATTGCGAAGAATCGCCCTGCAGAGAGCCTTTTGCCCAAGGGAGCGCCTCGCCGGAACAGGGCAACAATAGGACGAGTTCTCTGTGCTGGAAGCATCTGCAAGCAGTTACTCATGGGTGTCAAGTACCACAAGCAACAAGGCAAGCTCCAGCAAACTCCCCGTCGAAAGAGCAAACAGAGGGGGCCCTCCATTGCACGGATTTCAATGTAGCCACGGCCTGGATTCATGGATGACATCTGGGCAAATTTGGTGATCGGACGACGGGCAACCATCCCTGTCAGTTGACTTAGTTGACTATATAGGTCCTGAAGTTTTCATGGTTGTTTGGCTTTTGAAGGGCGGAGAGAGAGAGAGAGAGAGAGAGCCGTAGCCATTTTGGCTCAAGCCATTTTGGCTCAAGCCATTTGGCTCAAGAGTGGCTCAAGCCCCTGGCTCAAGGGTCAGGAGGCTCAAACCGGGTGCCTGGACACCTTGTACGGCACTGGTGCTACGAGACTGAGGCTGACAGGGTCCTATCCTATACCCAGGGCATCTTTGCCTTTGCTAGTCATAGAGGTTGAGGAGGAGGCCGCGCTCTGTGTTCTGTGAAGATGTGGGCAGGCTATCAGCAGGACTTTGTCAAGGTCAGGAGCCGCAGACACTACCTTGCGTGCCATGGCTGCAGCGCCTCATGGATTTGGGCTGACAGAGTCAATGAATCTCGCTGGGGCTGCAACAAATGTGGCACGCCATGGAAACCACAGGAGACGCGGACTGATAGCTGGTCACCCACCAAGAAAGCCAGGAAGAACAGAGGGCGGGACCGCACCAAACTTGAACCTCCCCCTGGGCTAGGAAACAGGCAGAAGTCGGAGGGCAATGCGATTGAGGCTGCACTGAGGAAGGCCTGGGCCACTATGCCAGCAGAGACTCAAGAGGCTTTGAAAGGGGCAGGCATTGACCTCACCCCTGAACCGGAGATACCACCATTGGAAGAGGTCTTGAAAGCACATTTGGAGTCCTTGCCCAAGGAAGTCAAAGATGTGGTGGCAGGATTGATCAAGCCGGCCCCAGCTGCTACGGTTGATGTGACAGGCCAACTGAAGGCAACAGTTGGGGAATTGAGACAACTGGCAACGAAGAAGCAGTCCTTGCAACGCAAAGTTGACCAGGCCAAAGAGCAGTACCGGGTGTTGCTAGATGAGCTGAAGACAGTTCAAGAGGCCATTGACAAGGAGCACAAACAGCTGGGAGACCAATCGGCTGCGTATGCTAGCAGTTGAAGGAGGAAGCAGTGCCGATTCCGCAGGCACATGAACATGTGCTTGACCCGGATGCAACAGAGCATGTTTTGAAGGCTCTTGGACAGGCAGGCATCCTTTTCAATTCGGAGCAGCAGAAAGAATTGGAACGCAATTTGGCCGAAACATTGGCCAAGCGACGAAAGACTGATGAGGCCCAATTGTGTGGGTAGCATCAGCTGGACACCTTGTGCTCGAAAAGATGGCGATGGGGTTGTTTCTCCTGCAGTGAAGGGGTCCTGGAGGAAAACTATGGGGTTGGCACCCAGATGTTTGGGTTCAGGGGTTGAGTCAAACAGATGGGAATGTTTGACTACTTGGAGAAGTGATTGGTCACCTCATCAAGCTTGGGGACATGAGCAAGGTGAAGGTGAGTTGATGCCAACGGTGATGGATGATGTGCAGTTCCAGCAAGGTGACTCCATGCATGTTGCCCTTCAAGGACTGCAGCCGTATGTGAATGTCACAGGTTACCCTGACACTCCTTTTCCATGTGAGTTTAGTGGCAACTTTGGCATCCACATGGGCGTTGATCAAGATTTTGCAATTTTGTTTCAACCAAAGGTAGGCATGCGCCATGCCTGCCGGGCCATGGGAGATGATGAGGCAGTACTGATGCACGATGCACCTGAGCCTGCCAGTCTTGCTGCAAAGCCAGACGGGAATAGGGCAGGCCAGAGAGAAGAGATGACTACAGAACAGATGAAAGTCAGTGGTCAGGAGAGGATAGGGGCACCGCCCTCCACGACCTCAGAGCAGCTGGGGAAACCCAGACTTGCTTCATGCGGGACCCTGAGTCCTTCTCCAATGACCACTGGCACTGGGGATAGCAACTATGCTCGAACGCAGCAATGTGCCCTCTTGGGAGGGGGCAGATTAGATCAAGATGACTACTTCATCCTTGAGGATGAGGATCGAATGAATGCAGACCTTCTCACACCAGGCCATCTGCAGGATAGGTTGGTGGTGTTGCAGCAGAGAGCACTAGAGGCCATCCAGGCCTTGCCGGCCAAATGCAGAGAGGATCAGGACTATGGGATGGTTGAGACCAGGGTATGGGGCTTGGAGGCCCTAAAGCACATCCTACGAATGCGGCTTGCACTTCAAAGCCATGTACAGCTGACCCGACCTGTCACGCAGGTCATTGACATGCCACAGACAAGTGAGTTGCTTGCAGCAAATTTGACCCTGACAATCCGCAATCCAGGCAATAGGTGCTATGCAAACTCGGTCCTCCGGATGTGGTGCTGGATGGGGGCGCATCATGACAAGCCTGGTGAGTTTTGGGGGCCGTCAACAAATTTGTGCCTTCAACTACTCCAGCAGGAGGACATACCGGACATCTTTTGGGCCTCTGAGATACAACCTGTTATTGCCAAGCTGGAAAACCCACAGGCACAACATGACGCCTCTGAATTTATGGTGTTGCTGTGGGAGCATTGGAGTCAAACTGGCATGCAAGGCTCATGGCACTCCCAGTTTGGAGGTAGAAACCATGACTTTGAGACCCTCCCGCTTTTCATCCGGATGCCTGTGGAAGCTGGGGATGGTGTCAGTTTTGAACAGCTGTTGCAAGAATGGGCGAACGAGGCCAATGGACAGTGCCTGGCAGCTGACGTCCAACACATTGTCTTTCATGTGGGGAGGTATCATCTGTGCCCCAGAGCCAAGTCGTGGGTCAAACATCACAACAGGCTGTACATCCCCTCGACTTTCAAGTGTGCACAGAGGACCTCGACGGGACATGGGGGGCAAGCTACATTTGCTCTCAGGGGTGTCATTGCCCATCAAGGGGAGGAGCTCATTTCTGGCCACTACGTCACTCTCCTGGTGGAAGGGGATGCGCTATGGTCTGTTGATGATGGGCAGTGTCCTCAAGCCCAGACGGCAGTCCCGGACATTTTCCAGACAGATGCAGTGATGATCTGGGCATCCAGGGCTGAGCATTCCCCTTTCTGGACTCGGGCCATTGGGACTTTTGAGAGGCCCATCAAGCGCCAGAAGCTCACAGGGGAAGGCATTGAAGTCTTTTACAGCAACATCACCCAGTAGTGGAATGGCCAAGCCAAGGAGTGGCTGCTGCAAACGGAGCACCATACAGTAGTCATGGTTGAGACGCACCTGCATGGACCAAAGATGGACCAAGCCAAAGCAGCCCTCAGCAGAAGTCGATGGCAAGCAGAGTTCATGCAGGCACATGAGACAGGGAGAGGAGGAAACAGTGGAGGACACCTTTTCTGCTGCCGAGAAGGGCAATCCGCCTACAGGCTGCATCACTATGACAAGGATGGCAATGGTTTCTTGGCCAATGTCCTCCAGAGGCAAAAGTGGGAGCTAGTGTTGGTGTCGATCTACCTCAAGTGTGGTGAGGATCTGAATTCCGTGGCCAACTCCACCATCTTGGGAGAAATGGCCGCCTTCCTGAGAGAACTTGCAGTGCCGTGGATAGTCATAGGCGACTTTCAGGTGCCACCTGAACAATGGGAGGGTCACCAGCTGCTAAATGTCCTGCAGGCTGAAGTTCTGTGCACGGGACAAGCAACAGTGGGCAGTGGAGCTGAGCTTGACTATGCCTTGGCTAGCAGGTGTGTGGTTCCTTTTCTGGAGCTCAAAGTACACTGGGATGTCCCCTGGAGACCGCATGCGGGCCTGATCCTTACGGTCAATCAAGCTGCTCCCAGACTCATCCTGCCGCAATTGACTCATTATGCGGCGGTACCCAAGTTGGAGGATGGCGCAAGGTCATGGGAGGATTTCAAGGCCTCGCCCAAGATTTTCTGGTTGGGAAGGCAGACAGGCCCCAAGGAGCAACAATGTGCAGAATGGTGCCATCAAGCAGAGCAGTATGTGCTTCAAAACCTGAAGGAACCGAAGCAAGGGCGGGGATGGTACTTGGCGTTGGAAATGAAGCCATTGCCGGCCACCAAGCCATTGTCACCGTGGAAGAAAGGAGACTTGGCGTATTGGGGGCAATTTTGCTCCATACTGTCCCATGTGGCCCACAAGGGCATGCTGACGTCCACATCCTTGGTCCACCTACGTACCAAGGCAGCTGACATTCACAAAAGATGGCAGGATGTGCATGGCAAAGAAGCCTTTGTGGCCGC